AAAAAAAAAAAAAAAAAAAAAAAAAAAAACAAAAAAATATGCAATCCAATATTTTCCACTATTACTTTTCCAATAAGATAACTCAATTCGCTGAAAAATCACATTAACTAAACCTAAATAATGAAAAAAATGCTTCAATTTTTTCAATGCCGTCACAAAAGGTGCTGCAGTACAATGATGATGCTGCAGCGAAAATTGCCAAAAGGATATAGTGATGAAAATGACAACCTGTTAAATAGTTCAGATCTACAAGCAAATTATTTCCTATTAATTTTGCCTCGCTTCGTTATCAAAACCAGCTCTTTTTCAATGTTTCTCTTGAAAAAAACCATAAAACATACATCTAATTTCGAGAGACGCTAAATTAACGTCAGTGGCCAACGAAATATCAAAAAATGGCATAACGAGGAAAATCCTCAAAAAACAAATCAGTGACTCAAGACTTCCAACGTCTCAATGATAAGGCTACCTGCATTTGAAGTACAGGAGAATATCTCCCCAGCTTTTTTTTCCTTAGAATCCTGTAAGAAAAACTATTCGGCATTGATATTATAATTCTTCCGCTTAAACATCTACAAAAATAAAAATGAATTTCAATCTAAATCGGAAAAGAAAATTTCAAATGCTTGCTTCAAAATTGTCAGAAAAAAACTGTAGCATTCAAAGAAGTAACATCCGCCGAAACTGCTTTTTTATCAATTCCTTCATAAACTCAAATAATTAAAGCTTTTCTTCCAATTAACAACACTTTCTAACAAATAATAGGTTCGCAAACAACACTTTTGTAGATATTTATGCTGTTCTACGTCCGACCAGAAATTGTAAGCTTCGTTAAAGACAAAAATAAAACGGTTTTTAAACACGTACGCAATGTAATCTTATCTCTAAAAACTTAAGGAGATTAACACATCTACGGGAAAACTTGTACCCAGCAAGCCACTGATCAGATCATAAAATCGGTAATTAAACTACTAATATATATGAGGCCTCAAATCCAGAAATAGTAGGAAAACAGTCTAACTACGAAGTAAGTTAAAAAGTAGTGGAAACTGCGAACTAAAACTATCCACTTCTCTTATCCCGATCGAGTGAAGAAATTACGTCTGGAATCAAAAAGAAAAAAGTAACGACAACATTATGTAGGTAAATAACAAAAGTTTAGAAACTTTAAAAAGCAGATGCACCTTGAATTATCAAAAAACCATCAAATTCGTACATTTGAAACTAGTGTTGGTCAAGAGAAATAAAAAGTGACAACTAGAAAAAGTTTTAGCTCAAGAAACTTTTCAGGATAAAACCACATGATTCTGAAGGGAGTCTTGAAAAACTGTTCCCAGTGTGACTAGAAAACATTAAATAACCGCCCAGATACAAGTGTGCCAGATAAAAAACAAAACACTCAATATTTAAAAAGAAGTGCCAGAAAACTGCTTAAATTAAATGATATAGTGTTAAAGCTTAAAAAATAGCTAAAACTTAAACCGCTAGTTGTAACTCTCAGCAACAAGCAATGTAAAACATGATTAACTCATAAACAGCATCACTATTCTCGCACCTTTACAACGTTCCATAAACGTCAGACCTTTAAAAAATGAGGTACAGTACAAATCGCTACAAAACAAAAAAGCTACAGCATCTAGCATACGAAAAGAACCGTAAATGTTGTTGAAAACCCCCAAGATACAAATCAAATACTATTTACAAGGAACCAGTCAGTTTATTATAAAATATTAATGAAAAAGCGCCTAAAGTTGCTCGAATCCTTAAATTACCAAAATATTTCTAAAGTAAAAGAAAAATTTTTCACACTGAAGAACAATGTTAACCAAACCACAAATAACTATTAACTGAGGAAAATATGAATAAAACAAACCCATCGTAACCAAAATCAATGTATTTAAAAAATTTGCGCTTAAAGTTTTCGCAAAGGTATAGGACAACAGATAGATTAGAAATATTAGCTAATAGCAAAAAAACTGTACTTGGATGAGAATGGCTGGTCCCCAACAAATGATGAACACGTGGAATAAGAGTGCCAAGAAAAGACGATGCTGAATGTGTTGCCTGTGTCCTGCAAGAAAAAGTTGTAATACTTTATAAGCATAGAAAAGACTGTGATTTTAACTAAAACCTATCGAATAAAGTAAAAACATGATCATTTTAAAATAAGCTATAAATGTAAATATTAAGTGGAAAACTGAAAAGAAAAACAAGAAATTTCTACCAACAGTGGCCTTGGAGGGTATATCACTCAACAGTAGTAAATAAAAAACTAAGATTCTTTTTGGTAAATGAGTAACTTGAATTGGTAATTCTGCATTAAAAACGGTCGGCTAAGAATATCTATGTAATAAATTTTCTGAAAAACGTAACAAGTAGTCTGACAATTAGAAATTACCTTAGGGGTACGCCATGATCGTGGTGCGTATCAGAAGAGAGATTATATGCTCCAATCGTTGCTGCAGCAGAGCCATCTAGAGCAGATTCCGTAGACGAACGCGCACTCCCAGCAATCTGAATAACACCTTCACCGGGTAATGGCCGGAAATGCCCTGTTTCATTTACCTAAAACTCGGTTAAACTTTCATACCATCACTACTCCTTTTATGAGAATTATACCTGTGGAATAGCGCTGCCTTGTGAACTGAGACGGAAATCGGCGTCATGCTGTCCAGCTAAAGCTGATGAAGAACCGGATGGGAACACGCGGTTCGAGGTTCCCTCACAACGTCTGAAAAATAATTCTGCTAGACTGCTTAAAAATTTAGAGAACAATCGGTTAAACACTCCTGACTTTTAAAAACCTCGTAAAAAATAAAGAAAATTTTTACACGACACTATTGCACAAGCCCGTCGTTGCTGTGTTTATTCCACGATGACGAGCTGCTGAAGAAGTTCCCGGCTGTGAATCGCTCTCCGTACTCGTCCCACCAGAATCTAACAGTTTCAGGGAACCGCGTCCCTTACGGCCACGCGTTGTCCTTTCTTTACCGGCACTGAAATAACCAATATTGGGAGTAAAATATATGGAAACAGCTGACAGGTCTGTGAGGAATTATGCCACTTTTTCCTGCGTATAACTTTTTGATGAGTAACGCTACCTTTGCTGTGGTAGAGGAGACGAAACGCTAGATGTCGAATTTAAATTATAGTTGATCTCTGCGCTATTCTAAAAGAGACAGTAAGATGATGTTGAAATGAAATCTTATTTTTTCACTTAAACGAGCAACAATATTTTTAACATTCTACATTTACACTAAATGTTACCGTTGCTGGGGAAGAAGGAGCTGATAGTTGACGCTGAGAGCGCGTAAGGCGACGATCAGATGGTTCTTGATCGGGAAAAAAGTCGGTAAGGTATCGAAGTTCTTTACTAATAAAGCGGCTTTGACGTGAGTGACGGTTATTCACTACACGTTCTCCCGCGTCAACCGTCTCAGTTGAAGGGCCCGGCGTGTTAAAAGCTCCCTGGTCTTGCGACGTGCCACTCTCTTCGCCCTGCTAAACCTCAGTAAGTTACTCCAGGTATTATTAAACTATGAAAATGAATAAACGGCTCAATATGCTCTAAACCAAGAATCGCAAATTCTGGTAATTCAGAAATATAATGGGAGTCGAATAAATAATGTATTATAGAATCATCACCTTTCAAATTAATACCTAATCGATAAAGTAATAATAATATCAAAAAAAGGAGGCGATATCACGTCATGCATTACAGAAAACGGTGTCCTCCAATTAATGACTTGCCTGGGCAGTGTTATTAAGAATTCTACGAAGTTTAGACGACGACGAACCCACTGCTACTGATGAAGTAGAGACTGCCCCTCTTCTCAAATTAACTACAACAAACGAAGCAAGTAACTAAATGCTCCTCCAAATTTTAAAATGTAAAAATGCTTC